CCTCTTATTTAGGTTTTGGCTTTGTACAAGTCCATTAGCTATCTTAACATTTTGTCTAATCCTGCTGTGTGACCTCTCTACATGATTGGTGCAATTGTTTTGTTTTAAAAATATTACAGCCTTGAATTATTCAACAAGAAATCAATACTGATAAAAAAAATTAAAAGAATCCTACAATAAATATCTGAAGAAATTGCTTGACAAATCTTCCAGGTCATTGGCATTCTAGTGTCCTCTTGTGCAGATTTGTTACTATATGAAATTTATCCGGACTACTTTTAGATTAAAATTTCGTAAGAGTTCCGCGGAACCCAGTGTCTCGCCTACTTTTGCTGTTAATCGCAGGCTCAACAAAAATGGGGAAGAAATTAGTAAACATTTTCCTCGACATACTATCTTTTCATTGTAAAAAGCTTCTGTCCACGTTTGGTAAAAATCAAGAATGGTTTATGAGTCTAATAAATGTTTTAAAAACTTTTACTGCAGACTGTATGTAATGTTAACTGGAAGAAAAACTATAAGTCCATAATGCCATTTATAAGTAATATACGGAAAAACAGGAAATAATTTTTTACAAAATTTTCTTCTAGATACTAGCTTTTGATCATCAACAAGCTTCTGTCCAAATTTTGTACAAATCCAGGATAGTTTAAGAAAGTTATTAAAATTTGTAAAACTTTAACCACAGAGTGAATGTAATGTAAACTGGCAGAAAAACTAAGTCCATTTTTTAATAAGTAAAATACGGATAAACAGGACTTTTTTTTACAAAATTTATTTATGGATACTATCTTATGATCATAAACAAGCTTCTGTCCATGTTTGGTAGAAATCCAGGATATTAAGAAAGTTATTAAAATTTCAAAAACTTTAACCACAGAGTGAATATTTGTGGACGCCGCCGCCAACAACGACGGAATGTAGGATCGCTATGTCTCGCTCTTGCGACAAAAGTCGCAGGCTCGACAAAAATGAAGTCAACAATATCATTTTTGCCTCTCAATTATCATAAAAGTAATAATACTTGAGTTAACTGCATCTCATCAAAGGAAGAGCAAGAAAATTACAGTTACCACTGACACTACAAAGTCTGCTTTATACCTTTGACAGGAATGTATCAATGGATTGATTTTTGTCAATGAGTTGATGACCCAAGGGATTGACCAGGACATACATACACATGTATGGTCATACGGACTTTCCCTTTCTGAAAATAAAGTACACCAGCTATGGACAGCTATAAACAGTAGAGATCTCCCAATCACAAATTCCTTAAATCATTTTAAGAAATTTCACCATATATCTTCAGTGGTTTTGAAAATTGGCTAACCAGCATCAAAGGTTTATGGCAATGTTTTTCATTGATAAGAACAAAATAAGGATTATTTTTAGAGGACCTAACATATATCATTGCTGCAAAGATTGGCTAAAATTTGATGTGATATTCAGGAAGATGAAAATGAAAAGTTTACAGAATGAAAGGAATGCCAAGCGATGACAATATATCTGTAAGATTCATAAATGCATTTTAGCTGTTTGTCAAATAAGATACAAAGCCTTCAAGGGCAAATGGTAAAATAGATTTGAGTACTCTTAGATCGGTATACTGTGTCTTTTATCTTTTTTATAAGTTGCTTTTAGTGCTTGTTGTGCCAGTGGGATGAGTCAAGCCCTTTCAAAGTGATTTTTAAAATTTCTTCTTATGTTGTGTTGTTACAACACGGTCCAATATTAGAGGGGGTTTGAGAACTTTAACCCCGCCACATTCTATGCACTGAAAATTTAAATTAGTCACTATGACTATTAAGTTAGTCAAATATTAGCCGAAAGGTAGTCAACAGCATATATGACTATCCATCAAGTCCTTGTGACTACCTGCACGGTCAATTTGACTATGTTAGTGGTCACAGCACCACGTGGTGTACAGTATCGGTTTTCACGCGCACTCTTTCGCGTTCCCTTTGTTCCCTAGATCGTGTAGATGTAAACAAACCAGGAGGCACGAAACTGTTATTTTGTCAATTAAACCAATTGTTTAAAGTAAGTATCATGTATATTTGTTTTAATTTAAACTTACAAAAATTAAATTTAAGAAAAAGAAGTGTTATGAATGTAATATCGACACACGTAATGACAATAAAAAAGGGGGAGATATGTAAAAGGGATATCAATTGTGATACACATACAGCGTATTGTCGATTGAAAAGAGTATTTAGCGATATCTTTTTTTCATCTGACCAAACGCTGTTAAAAATAAACACTGCAATCGATATTCACAACAATAAATTAAAAAAAAAGCTCAGGGTGGCTGTCAAGATTCTGGTGCTTACATTACAATGCTGTGATATAGGATGGGTGGCTGTCAAGATCCTGGTGCTTACATTACAATGGTGTGGTATAAGATGGGTGGCTGTCAAGATCCCGGTGCTTACATTACAATGTTGTGTTATAAGATGGGTGGCTGTCAAGATCCTGGTGCTTACATCACAATGTTGTGGTATAAGATGGGTGGCTGTCAAGATCCCGGTGCTTACATTACAATGTTGTGGTATAAGATGGGTGGCTGTCAAGATCCCGGTGCTAACATTACAATGTTGTGATATAGGATGGGTGGCTGACAAGATCCCGGTGCTTACATTACAATGTTGTGATATAGGATGGGTGGCTGTCAAGATCCCGGTGCTTACATTACAAAATAATGGTATAAGATGAGTGACTAAATCACTAGATCAAAGATTTTAAAATTTGTTTTTTTCATTTAACTTTTAACATGACTGATATACTTATTTATTGTTATATTTTAGCTTCTAAAATGATATAATTATATTTTTCAGCAAATAAAGACATTGCTATTTGTATGAACACAGCTGAGAGAGTTTTGGCCAGAGAGAATATTACACTGACACAGAGTTGATACCGACAAAATATCTGAAATAAACACTTCAAATTCTGACATACTGAAAATGTATAAAATATATATTTAAGTTGGGATATCATAATGTATGTAAAAATGAGTTTATAATAAATATATTTTCTTTATTTGATTTTTAGACTTCAATATATGTCACTGAGTAATGGTAACACATGGAAACTTAAGATATATGAAGGTTTTGAACATTGAGCACTTTGTGGTCCTATACTGTTGTCATTGTTAGTATTGCTGCTGTGGTATTTTTAATGATATTATATTCCAGATGTATTTGTCAATCCTATGGAAGAGAAACAACATAGAGTAGAATAACAGAAGAAATGAAACATAAAAGTACAAAACGGATAGAAACACACACAAAGTAAAATAGTAGAACAAAAAACACAACACAAATTAAAATAACAGTCTAACAGTCTATTGGTCGTGACTATTCACAGTAATCATGTTGACTTACCAACATGGTCACTTTCGACCATTTCAATAAGTCATATGGACTGCATTCAATTGTCAAACTGACAAATGTGCATAGTCAATTGAAAAATCCAATTCGTCAAAACGAGTATAACATATAGTCATTTTGACTTCCTAACATAGTCATAATTACCACCCTACTCAGTCAAATGTGACTAACCATCTAGTCAAACGACTAAGAGCATAGTCACAATGATTAAAATGCATTATCATCTAGAGGACAGTCAAAATGACCAATTAAATTGGTCAAATTGACTAATTTAGGTTTTCAGTGTGTGTACCCCACAGGTCCCATAGCATTACTAAATGTAATTGGTATAAAATGGACACAGATTTAAGTGCAATAACGTCACATATATTTATATCAAAATAATGCTATTTCCGCAGTTTGCCAAAGACATTTAATGATTATCAAAGACACGTCAATGAGGTCAAAGTCGCTGAATTGTCATCAAGACTGACCTGGTATGAATTAAAAAAAATTTAGGGGTATATATCAATAAGACAGCAACCCAATGACAAAATTAATCAAAGACATCTAGAGGGCAACAAACAGTCTTCATTTATTATTGTTATACACATATGCACATTCACAGTACTACAATCTGTCGATTTACACTAAATCCCTTGGATGTTGGGTGTTTACTGATTGATATTTTAGTCTTAGTTACATGATTTTTCTATTAGTTGTTATTTGCTTTGAATTAGCTGTCAGTAACTGATAACTCTCAGATCTTTACTTATTGTCTTTTTTGTCGTGGGATGTATAGATACGCTGCCACCACCAGTCTGTGTTTTCGTTAGATGTTTTCTGCTTTGTATCGATCTGATGAGTTAAGCCCTTTTCAACTGATTTTCATAATTTGTTCTAGTGTTGTACTGTTGCACCACTGTCCCAGGTATGGGGAGGGTTTGGTGCCAGCAAACTAGTTTAACCCTGCCACATTCTGTGTGTGCCCGTCCCAAGTCAGGAGCCTGTATTTCAGTGGTTGTCCAACGTTGGTTCATGTCTTGTCATAATTGTTTTGTTATAAATTAGGCCGTTAGTTTTCTCAATTAAATTGCTGCATATTTTTTGTTTGGGCCTTTTATAGCCGACTACACAGTATTGGTTTTCTCAATGTCGAAGGCTGTACGGTTGCCTGTAATTGCTTACATCCACTTCATTTAAACTTTGGTGAATAGTTGTCTCATTGGCAATCATACCACATCTCCTTATTTTTATATTCAACAATAGACTCATATATATATTTTGTTTAAAGGCCATTTTTTCAGCAGGTTCAACTGTAACCATGGAAAAGAAAGGATAAGGTGTATCAGTTCATGACACAAAATCACTAGGTGCTCAAGAAAACAATAAACCAATAAAAGCAAAGGTACAGTGCTTTTATTGCTATTTTTCATCTCAATGTTCTAGTGAGGTCTTCAACATGCAGCAAAAACTCTCACCTCACTGCAAGTTCAAGATGGCCCCTAGCACTGGTTTGGGTGGAATTCTTTGCTAGTTGATCTACAACAAATGTTAAAGTTGAGATACTGCACCTTTTTTATCAATGTTGACTAACTGTTTAACTGGTGTTTTATTTACTAAAACTACTAATTATAAACCTATGACCATTTTTATTAAGAACAATATGAACATTTTGTAAATAACATCATATATGGTGCATGCAATAATGTCCTAAATAACAATATAAATCATTGATTTAAAATTATTAAATAACTTAATAATCTGTCATAAAAATCTAATTATTACACAATGTCATACAATAAATTATTTAATACACTTTTAAGTAGAATTGTACCTATAACAACCTTTGGTAATTTGTGGTATAAATTAACTAGTGCCCGTCTATCCTATCTACTGCTAAATGCCTTTGTCATTTCTTATAATACTATATAGTAAATGAATTGATATGTTTCATCAACTTACTTTTTTGACTGTAAAACAAAGTATTCTTATTCAAAATAAATTTATCTGGTGGAGAGTTGTTTCATTGTGGCAAGCATACCACATCTTATTTTCATATTAGTTGTTTCTGGAAATTGTCATACCAGAATAAGACAAATTGAAATGTAAAAAAAAAGTTTCATTTGATAAATACAAATTACAATTAATGATGAAGAAGATTACTAAAAAACATTACATTTGTCATCGTTGTCCTGCCTATAAATGTATAAATCCTAACTTGTATATCAAAACTCACAAAGCATAAAAATTTCAAAGTTCACATATTTTCTTACCAAAATTTGGTAAAAATCTGGAAAAGTTATGCCAAACTATTAAAATTAAAATCCAACAACCATTTTCAGAAATCATTATATTCTATAATTCTTTTCTCAACCCAATGAAAATTTGCAATTGTTTAAAAAAAAAAAGAGAGAAAATAACAAAACTGAACACATGGCTAAGTATATGTTAGTCTGTTTAAGTCAAACAAATCAACTAAAACTAATTAAACGTTTATCTAATTATGTTAAAGCACAACAAATATCACATCTATTTCATAATCTAAAGTAAAAACATTTTATCAAAATCAGAGAACTAATTAAAGAATGAAAAGTTAAATGATGCATAACATTTATTCAATTCATATTTAATGTTAAATGAAACATAGTTATCCATTAACTGTCAAACAGTACTTCTTTTTCATTTAAATGCCTACATCCTCGCAAAAGCTTTCAAAATATACAAATACCCTGTAGGTTTTGCATACATAACTCCTGTTAATTAAAATCTAGCTATTATACTTCATATTTAAATTAAGTATGTAATACAAGTCTTTATATCATATAGAAAATAATATAGAAATATAGGAAATCTGTGTTTGCTATTTCTGGTGGGTGATTCTTGAGTTTATGAGGTGATTATTAGTTTTTAATTGTATTCTTATAAGTTAAAACTTGAGTGTACCATTGTGTTGGTTTTACCTCCCTAGAAAAAAATCCAAGTCTTTTGTTCGTAGTCGAAACTTTTTGACATTGTTCCTCAGTTGATTTTTTGTATGTATTTGTATTATGATAAGTAACTGTTACAGAACGATAGTATATGTTATGAATTACCATTTTTTTCAAAGAAAAATTGTACTAATATAAAGTAACTTTCATAAGAATTGTACATATATTCCCTTCTTTTTTGCATGTTGCTCAGGTTTAGCCAATGCAGAACTATCGCCCATATCCATATCTTATTTACTGTGTAAATGGGTATTCTTGTTATATCAGGATCTTCTACATGGCAGCTGGCATTTACTTTTAAATCTATTATTATAACATCAATAATTTATTTAGTAGTCTTCCTCAAGTTCATTTTATGCCACAAGATTAAAAAAAATGTTGTACAATAAATAAATAAAGTAAACACTTTATGATAAACTGTAACATACAAAATGACTAATAAAATGACAGCATTACTGTATCCCTATAGTAAATAAGAAATAACACACAATCATTATATTCACTATATTTGCAAGTAAACAAACATTACAATTATAACAACCAGATCCTAAATTTTGACTTTAAACTGGAGCAAACATTGTAAATTTAGAAATATTTGCAAAGTTTTTATTCTTGAGAAAAATGTGACAAAATATGCATCCCATTAATTAGAAATCAAATTTCAAATTTTGATGCTTTATTTGTATACAACATTTCCTGAATTCCTATTATCTAATCTCACATTATGTCTGATGATCAACAATTGCAATAATACTTACATTGAAAAAAAATCTGAACTTATTGTATATAAAATGTTCAAAGAAATTTGTACCAAAATATAAAACTATCAAAATTGATTCACTAAATTTTGCACTTGCAATGATATAAAGAAATAAGTTGAGGAGTAGATTCAACCGAGGTCAGAATTGGCCCTTTAATTTTTATCTCTTTTCAATCAGGCTAAAATACTACAAATTTTACAAAGATATTATAGTAATATAAATTCAAAGTAATTTTATTTTGGTAATTTACATTATAAATTGTGAAAGTTATGATTCTAAATCAAGCATTTTCATGTTGTAACACTATTTTTGTAATAATAAATAACAGTTTCTAGCATATACAAATTTGGCCTAAACTTTAGATCCAGCAAATAGTTGTGTATACAATGTAAATATTCAATATAAACCTTTGCACAATTTGGATCATAGGTTGTGGTCAAGGTTTTCCAGAAGCTTTCATGTAAAAAAAAAAATAATGCCCAAAATAGGAAAAATAAGAAAAACTAGCATTAAGGCTTTTGAAATGGATCCATTTAAGAACCTTATTGTGGCCTTTTTGATAATATATGATACAGTTGAAATACAAAGCCATCTTTTGATTAAAGTAAACCTTGTCCTCTTTACAACATAAGAGGGTCCATTTATTATTTCATAAAACAAAGAAATTATTAATTAAACCATTTTCCAATGATAAACAGTGAAGTTCAATGGTGTCATTTCAGGAGTATGAAAATATATAATAAATAATGGGTGCAATATTAACAATGTGCAATAACTGATAAGCAAAATACAGATGTAAAAATCTTCACACATATTTAGTAATATATACAGGACTGTTCTCTATTGACATAAACCAAAAGATTAAATATTTTACCCTTAACCCTTCTGAACTATCCAATTACACCTCTTGTAAATCTCTCATCATCAGTTTGGGTTATAATGATACAAGTCATGGCTAACATCTGTCCTTTGTAAAAGTTAAAAGAATCAATATAACTTAGACAAAAAGTTCATGGCCTGAGTGTTATGGGATATATAAGAAAACAAATGATATTCTATTGATATGGAATTCTGTACAACAATAGTAAAAAATTGTATAGTCACACTTGTTACAACAAGTTCAGCACCAATATTTTGGATATGTTAATTTCACAACTTTGACATAAAAATGTTAACACTCAGTACAGATACTTATGACATACTATCAGAATAAAGGCCAGACAAAATGCCTATAAGTTAACTGAACAACATCAAAAATGTAAATATGATTGAAATACAGATCCTAGGTCAACGCTTTATACAAGGATGTTATATTTTGAAACAAAAGTGGATATTTTGACTTGTTCATTTGCATTGCTTTCAATATGTCATGTCAATAGATCTGTTTAACTTCTATAAGGAAACACAAAAGCATAATAGTTTAAAGAAAGAAGTCTATTTTACAGCACTATTTTTCAGTTATTGAAGCATATTTTCGTGTGTTGTAAAATTATCTGTTAAACATTGTTAAAAACATTAATTAGAATTTTATCTGAATGTTTTTTTAATCAATTTATTTTATTTTAAATTTCAGTTACCGTATTAAAAATTTTAGGTAACAAATTGCTGTGTATCAATGTCAATACATGTATGTGTAAGCATTAAAATTATATTAAATAATAGCTGCATGTACATGAATTGAACATTCAAGTATCTGAAATTAACTGAATTTTGATGTAGGATGAAATCTATAAATGTGCATGTAAAATTGATATATATGCAAGTACAAAGTATAGCACTATAAAAAAAAATCACCTGCATCGCTTTGTCTGATAATTATCAATAAAATTCAATTTCATTTTTAACAAATGTAAACCCTTCGTAACATAAACATCAACATCAAAATTCTGTTTCAGCCCTTTGTTTAAGTTCATTAATCTGCTGAAGAAGACTTGATGTACTACTGTGCACTGAATTAGGGACGTGACTTTCTGGTTGTAAATGAATGTCTGCATTCCAGTCATAGTCATCTATACTTCCAATAGAGCTGGTCCTACTGTTCATACCCCAAGAGTATTCTGAATTAGTCTCTGAACATCTTTCTTGTACAACAGCCTTGTAATCTTGTATTGCATCATTCAGTGACCATAGCTGCGACAACAATGAAATGTCTAACTGTCGTAGACCAACCTGCAAATGAAAAAATAAACATTTAACAATTACAAGTACCTGTACAAATTAAAACAGTTAAATGTATGGTTCAAAAGTAGGAAGAAATTGTTAAGTCCCAGTAATAATGAACAAACTCAGTTGGAACAAATTGACAAATTGGCATGGGACAAATACACCTTTTTCGCTATTTATGCCAATCCAGATAAGTTCTAAAATTACACAACTTTTTCAAAACTTTTCATAAGAGACATGTTTATACTATCGTAAACACATCAAACAACGCATTTTTAATGAGTGTAAACACATCATACAACGCAATTTTAATGACTTTAATTTGTCTTTTCAAAATTGTTTCATAAACATGATAAAACTATCAAAATTGGAAAATGTTCACTTTCCAAACTTTTTTCTCCCTCAGCTCATAGCTGATGACCTTTATTTTTGAGACTTTTGGCCCAAACAGGAAGTTGTCTAAATGACTGTATTTCCAAAATGGACTATAGCGATAAGGTGTATTGACCAAATCTTGGAAAAATTGGACAAAATTGGAGTTGGAACAAATTGATTACATGCAGCATTTGTTTATACTGGTCTTGGTTTTTATTTTCCTTCATACATGTATCTTCTCAACCAAGATGACCTAGTGAATTTTGATGACTGGTATATATATATAAACAGGAAATGGACAGCCTCCATGATTCTTTATAATATTTATCATATTTCCTACCAAAACTAACATAGATTATTGCTCCGCTGCAGTCCTGATTGATCTCTAGTAGCGTTTCCATTCCTTTAAAATATACAAATCCTTGATTTCAGTGAAACATTTTGAATACAATTTATAATGTCAAATACCTGACTCAACATTTTTTTTCTTACCATTTCATCTTTAAGTCTATTGAGTGCAACATTAAGTCTTGAGAATGGCGAGGAGTTTTTTTCTGATTCATTGTGTTTGTCTGTTTTCAAAGAAAGATTAGTTTTTATAGCATCTGCATCTTTCACTTTGTCTTTGGCATCTGGATCAAAACCATTTACAACCCTTTCTCCGTTCGCTATAAGTCCATTAAAACATTTTGGCAGCGGCGGTAGTCCGTGGCCCTCTGACATCTTATATGCAATTTCCAAACTGAGAGATAGGGCCTATTGGTTCGAAAAAAACATTTGTTGAACATTTGTTGAGGCTGTACAGGTCAGGGGATAATATAAGTAAGGGGAGTGAAAGCAATGCTATAACGCAAGGACAATCTCATTCGAACTTCTCAAGATCTTACAATATTGAGTTTGAAAAGATTGGAGAGGATAGAAAAATAATTAACTTTGGGCACTGGCTACGATTTCCCACAAAAAGTAACAACGGAAATTGCAGGTAATAATACCGAGAATAATACTTTCATTTTTTATTGTTACCCGCAGTTATTGTTACCCGCAAAAGATATTCAGACAGGCACCGATCTGAGACTACTATAACACATATAGTAGTCTCAGCACCGATTAAAAAAATGTGTTTTGATTTGCCAACAATCTGTGAAATAATTTTAAACGATTATATTAAACATGATCAACTTCCAGATGTGGGTCATTTAAAAAAAGAGTCGAATTTTGAAATCACAAAATTGAATTAAAGTTACTAATTCAAACATTCCTCTTCATAAGTAAATCAAAACAAACAGTACTTATGGAACAGCATATAAAAAGATGTAATCTTGATAATGTCATACAAGAATACATTGAAACATTTTTTGATAGGTGGTGCAATATTTTGTTTCTCCTGTTACCATGTTCAGAAGAAATTTTTGGTTATTTAGAAAAGGTTTCGATAAAATTTTAAGCCGCTTGTTTTTCATAGCCAATAAGATGGTTTTCAAGAGTAAATACTTCTATATATTTTCATTCTATGTAATGATAGATTATTTGTCAATTTTCCTTGTTGTACTGAAAAATACCTCTAAAAATTGGTTTTCAAAGGTTATAAAAATAACCACCAGCAACGCAAGTTTAAGATAGCAATTAATAATGTTCAGCATTGTTTTTTCTCTGTCTAATAAACCCAACATCAAATAATTCCCAGCGGCATGTTGGTTTACTTTTGTCTTCTTTTTTTTTTTTTGGTAACATGAACGTAAGTACGTTAACGATATTTATTATATACTTAGTAGTAAATACAGATTAATTGTATGTGTAATACAATCATTGACAAGCGTGCTGTATCAGCCACCCGTGATGATATCGATATCAGCACGGTTGCAAAGGCTTTATCACACCTTTAATCTGTATGACGTCACGTCATCGATTGCAGTCACTGTGTCAAAGGCTTTATCAAACCCCTAAATCTGTATGACGTCATGTCAAACCTATAATCTGTATGACGTCATTTCAAACCTCCTTACCTGTATGACTTCATGTCACATAAAAAACATCTACGTGAAGTATATGTATATAATAAAGTGTATATGATATGGCTTTTTCAATATCACACACCGTATCAACCCTCAACCAATATAATCCCTCGAGCAGAGCTCTTGGGATTATATTGGTGTCTCGGGTTGATACGGGTGTGATATTGAAAAAGCCATATGATATTCTCTATATATCACTATATTAAGTTCTATCCTGTTACCGATAGCAGTATTACATTTGTATAAATTGCGAAGATTAAGACGTTGTAACCTTTAAATGAGTTCAAACAACCAAACATTTCATTATGTGTAAAACTATATGTAATCAAGGATTTGTATAGTAAGATCTTACTATACAAATCCTTGATGTAATTTAACCCGAATGATTCAGTCCCTCCCCGTAATCGATCTCTCCTACTTGCGAAGTTAATGAAGTAATCGTAGATCAGCGGAATATAACGACTGAATTATTCGGGTTAGATGTAATTATACCCTTTTTAAAGACGTTTCTGTCAAATATTGTCCATCTGGTTACTGTAACCATAGTAACCATAGTTACAGGTAAGACATAACAGGATAGACAAATTTCTTCATTTATGAATGCTGTTATGAAATAACTACTCCCTTTGATGAAGTGATAATGTTTTTCTTCTGTGATTTTAGTATCCAACACGTAATTGCACTTTTTACAAGTATAGTATTGATGTAATTAATAAATAAGTTGGTAACAGCATAGACATGACAAAAGGGGTACCCACTATTATTTTAAATGTCTTGAATATTCTTTTCTCTATACTGTTATGCAAGAAACGTGCTGTGTTAAAGTTGTAGGAAGCTTTGTTCTTTTGAAATCATCACTGCATAGTTCCATATTCATAGGGAGAAAAAAAAAATAACGTTTGATTTAGTAGCGGTAGTTTAGTTTAAACATATTTTATTTGCAAAAGTAGCAAAAGGGATTTGACACAAGTTATAGTAGCGGTAACAGGATAGACATGCATTTCATGTACGCCGATTGAATTTAGTTTGTAGAAAAAAAATGTTACATAGAATAATAAAGAAGCTGTGATTTTTCGTAAGAGTTATTATTAAAATTCTAAAATAGTTCCTTTTGCAGATAGCAAGGTAATCAGAAAATAGGGAAAACATCATTTGAAATGTGTTACCCGACACTGTACGCACAGAAATTACGTAAAAATCGGACTTAAATATATTTTAATCTTATCAAAATAGATCTGAATCGTGTTTATTTTTGATGTTCCGACTCATAAATCCTGCAAACTTTCATTTAAACACTTACAACTGCATTTAACTTTAAAAATTAAATTTTTAGCATAGGTGTACTGAAATTTTTTTTTGAAAATAACCCATGTATTGACCATTAATTATGGCGTTCACGTTTGCCAAATGGGGGAGGGAGAGGGGGTCGATTACCTCACTATTCTCAGAGACATTTTTGTATACAGCACAAACAACATTTTCTAAAAGACCAAAAAAGTGAAAAAGTATATTTAAACAAAACGCATTTGACTAACAGGTCGAACAGTGGATGTTCTTAAACCCTGCTGACTGCCATTGGCGATTGCCAAATAAACGGATCACAAGATGTAACAAAATGGATCTTTATTTAAATATACTTTTTCACTTTTTTGGTCTTTTGGAAAATGTTGTTTGTGCTGTATTTAGACCCCTCTACCAAGAAATTTGTTTTGCAAGCACACGTATAAAAATTGCGGTTTTTATCCAACGCAATCATAGGTTTGAACGTTGTTTTCAATTTAGACTTATTTATATTTTTTCGTTTGGGCTTGTATTATATTTGCCTTCGGGTTTATATGATCCGTTCATCCTATTTCGACTCTTTAAAATTCAAGAGTCTATCCTAAATTGAGGTAAATTATATGGCCTTCCAAATACCGTTTCGATTCCTAACATCACTGAAGAGACATTTATTGTCGAAATCCGGATATGGTGTACAAATTTTTGCACCTCATGTTTGCGGTATACCATCTTTTCCGCAAGTTCATTGTTTTCTGTTTGGTATTATTGAATTAATAAATTAAATAAAGATCCATTTTGTTACATCTTGTGATCCGTTTATTTGGCAATCGCCAATGGCAGTCAGCAGGGTTTAAGAACATCCGTTGTTCGACCTGTTAGTCAAATGCGTTTTGTTTAAATATACTTTTTCACTTTTTTGGTCTTTTATATATATAAGTGCCTATAAATAGCAGCACATGACATACAAATCTATGGGAGTGTGGATTAATCAGTACAGAGATTAATTCAATTACACAAATAAAATCATAGATTGCCTAACAATGTAATTTTAACACACTATTTAGTATGTAAATATAAGAATGTTTAAAATATTTACAAAATGATGAAAATAAACGCAATATTTCGCTAGACTAACTAGCTTTATCAAGCGTGCATCTATCCAGGTGAAATCGGATGTAGATGATAAGAAACTTTTGCAGCTCAATGTATGTGTTGCACTTGAATTTAGCTGCCTTGAAAATAATACATAATTTGGATGACGTTCAAGATTTTTACAAAATTGGTAGTTGAAGTTAGCAACGTCCATTGGCCAATATTACAGGATAAAAAGGACGATGCTGTGTACTAAATTATTCTTTATCTTTCCTGTATCTTTTCTCATCTTTTTCGTTAAGACCATCAGGTTCTAAAGTGTGGAGTTGGTGGATCCAAAAATGTTCTCTTCTCCTTCTCGCCGTGGTGTCCCACTCGGTGTTGACTTCTATGATTTGGAAAGTAACATTATCAAAAGAATGTTTCGTTGAACGAAGATGTCTTGTGAGAGGACAGTTTTTGTTGGTTTTGTACCATGAACGATGGTTATTGAGCCGAATATTAAATTTGTCCATTGTTTCTCCCACATACTGAATGCCACAAGTGTCACATGTTAATATATAAATTGAGTTCTCCGTTTTACAGTTGGAAGTTGAGTAGATGGTATAATTTTGTTTAGTAACGGAGCTGATGAAAGAACTGCTTGTATTGGCAGCTTTACAACACAAGCAGTTCCTTCGACCACATTGTTTGTAGCAACCGGGAGATGGAGTAGGCTGCTTTGCTAATACAGATGTCACTAATTTGTCACGGATGTTTTTAGGTCTTCTGAAGGCCATGACTGGTGGTGAGGAAAATACTTTTTAAAGATTTGAATCATTTTCTATAATTTTCCAATGCTTCTGAACAATGGAAGACACATTTTTAAAATCAGGATGGTAAGTGAGTACACGGGGTGTTCTGTTAGCTGCTTTATTCTTATCTTTGTACTCTAGAAGTTCTTGGCGACTAGTTTTATTTGCTCTTTCGAAAGCGCTATCAATGATGTTGTTATTGTATCCTCGAACAACTAGATGTTTACGTAGTTGTCCAAGTCTAGCATTTTGCGTATTTTCAGTAGAGCATATTCTCTTGATTCGCAATGCCTGGCTGAATGGGATGCCACGGGAGCAGTGTTTAGGATGGCAACTTTTAGGAGAAAGGAATTGATGTTTGTCCGTTTGTTTGGTATGAAGGTCCGTTATAATGGTTCCGTTCTTGATGTAACTCGTAGTGTCGAGGAAGTTTATTTTCTCCATAGATGATTCATATGTAAATTTTATTGAATGGTGGAAAGAGGATATCGTAATAAAACCTGCCGACAAAGGGGGCGCTGTGGTTGTCATGAATAAAACAGATTACATAGCAGAGGGAAATCGCCAACTTTCAAACTCCATTTTTTATAAACAATTAACCACAGATCCAACACTAAATACTATTCGAAGG